AAGGTGGAACATCAAGAAACAGAGGTTTGTAGATTATAGGTGAATTTAAAATTCTTAGATTAGTAATTGGTTAAAGAAGCACACAAGTCTCTGTTACTCAAAGAAATCAGCAAAACAATGTCTGTGTTTTTAGAGATAAGAAGCCTGACTATTCATCATAAAAAAAACCCCACTATACCTGGGAAAGGATGCATCATCCCACTATCAATGAAGCAAAGTAGTCTGTTAATGTTTAATGTCGACAGAGTCTACTCAGACTCTGTCAATGTTTATAAGCATGACTCCCCCGGGACCCCGTAAACAACTTCGAAATAGGAAAAAGTAATCAAAATTCTGTCCTCATTATTTAAAATACATTTAATTGCAAAAATAACTTTGTTAAGTATAATACAGTAATCTTTTAAGTGCATGGGATCAAGAAGCGGTACAAATGCAATAATTATAATAGTCAAATCTTAGTGTCATATATATTTAATGTAATCCGGTAAACTCTGTAGAAGCATTTCATCTTATCAACTACAAGGCTCATAGGACCCTACAACAAAACTTAATAGTTTGTTCACATGACAAATGACAAAGCTAAACAATAAATTATTTATAGGATACAAATGTCTATGAACCAGTATGTTTTCTTTTTTCAGTTTGATGGGCCAAGGGTGATTAAGCAGTATGGAAAAGGCTGAATAGAATCCACCACCAAAAAAGTAACACGAGGAGTTTGGGGGAAAAGCAAGTGTTTTCAACATTAACAATACACTGTATGTGCCCACAAAATCAAATCACTGTAAATATCTTTCAAATAAGAATACTGAACTTAGTAAAATATTATGCTGTTTCTAGTTATATCAGATGCCAGAAGAAAGTGCTTTTTGGAAAAGTTTCTTCTCTCCCATACACAGATGTTAAAGAGAATCTAACAGAGTATGACTCAGTACTTTGAAGAATATATTAAATTGAAAAAATAAGCAATGCTATATATGGCCGTATGATAATGTGAAATGGTACATTAATGAGAAACCTAAAAAAGGATGTGTATCTATTATAACTAGTTGTCTTAACCCATTTGTGCTGCTATCACCTGAGGCTGGGTGATTTATAAAGAAAGGAGGCTTATTTGGTTCATGATTCTGGTAGTTGAAAAGTCCAAAGGCAAGGGCCTGACGTGTGGCTAGCTTCCTGTGCTCTGTCACAACATGGCCAAGAGAAGTGGAAAGGAAAACAGGTGTGTGTGAGAAAAGGGAGACCTGTGGGTAGCTCACTGGTTTTATATCAGCCCACTCTGGAGGGAACCAGTCCATGAAAATCTGCGGCCATTAATCTATTTATGAGGGAATCCATCCTCATGTCACCTTCCACTCAGCACCACCTCCCAGTGTGTTTCCATTCTGAAAAAGCAATGCCTTTGTAGCCAGATATTTCACTCTCCTCTGAGTTTTCAATCTTTTTCCATTGTATATAGCATCTGAGAATTTTTCATAAGGATGTGAGTGTAGTTCAGGATTCAATTCTCTCACTGTGAAGTGGGAGAATATCAGTATCGACCTCTAAGGATTCTGTAAAGGGCCAGAGAGAGAACATATGTAACGTACTTAACAAAGCAAGAATAATAAAGCCAATGCATGTAGTTGCAACAGGCACAATTCTAAGAACCTCCCCTATAATGATTCTTTAATACTCTAAGTGATCCCATGAGGAAGGTACTTTCATTAATTTGATTTTACAAAAGCAACAGGAGCTTAACAAACTTGCCAAAGACACGTAGTCATGTCGGAACAGGATCCTAACCCTGACTTCAGGCTCCTAAACACAGTACACAATCTACAGTAAGTATTTACTAAATATAAGCTCTACAGACAGCTCCCTACTGGCTGCTGAAGAAAGGCCTTACTGACTTAATGACTGAATCACAAAGAAGTTCATCTGCTTTATAAAACCCTCTCCATGGCATCAGAGAACAGCCACTTTACTGTTTCGCAGTTATAGGAGCTGAGTCAATACCCTGTCATCAAAGTCGGCCTGAAAAACATGCCCAGCAAGCATCTGGGATGAAGCCATATGTTTGGAGAGGAGATGTCAACCAACAGAGTAGAGCTCCCTTTTCGCCATCCTAACTCTGTCGCGCATTTGCTATGTAACCTTGGCCATTTGACCTGTCTCAGCTTTGATTTCTTGTCTGTAAACTGAGGAGAATGGGACAGGACAATTGTAAGGGTTTCTTCCTACTCTGAAATTTAGGGTTTCTATGAATACATGGTCTGAACAAGTGCCCCTGGTGTAATACACCATGTTATTTTTATTATTCATACTTTGTACCAAAGATGAAGACCTTCATTCCTTCTACTTTGGGGATGTTCATGAAGTACAAGAAAATGGTTTGGAAAGAAGGTCTCTATAAAGGAAACTATGGGCCAGCAGATGGCATAGCGGTCATGTTGCTGGACCCCCACATAGCCAATCACAGTTCTTTTTTTTTTTTCCTTTTTTTGGAGAGGTTTTTTTTTGCTATATGGCGCGTGTGCTCGCCAGAAAAAGAGAGAGAGACAGAGAGATAGAAAGCAAGAAATCACCCCCCAGGGGGGATGGCCATGCCGCAATCCCATCTCCTCCATTCTCTTCTTGGATCTTGGGCACACACGCACACGCGCCTGGCGTGAGTTTAAGCCACTGGGTCTGGGACGCAAACCGCGGTAGGCTACATGGGAGTCTAGCAACATAGCCATTACGCTAACTGCTGGTCCCAACCAACCACAGTTCAAGTACTAGACTCAGTGGCTTGAAACTCACCCTGGGTGCATTTGAGTACATGCCCAAGATCCCAGGAGGAGAATGGAAGAGAAGGATTGTAGCATGGCCATCCCTTTTGTAAGTAATTTCTCAATTTTCTTCTCTCTGTCTCTGTCTCTGTCTCTGGCAAGCACACATGCCCTAAGGCTAAAACCTCAGAAAAAAAAAAGGAATCTAAGGACACTAATGAATTTTTTTAATGGCATGATTTTTTTTTTAAAAAAAAACTATTGTGACTATTGTCCATATTTAGTTGTGTTGACTTGTTTCCAACAAAATTTTCCTTGACACATAAGACCTGAAGTGCTCTCAACTTCCATAAACATGAAAATGAATAAGGAATCTCAAGAGTATTTTTCTTAAAGAAATGGATACTCTTCTTTAATGGTGATATATGAATTATCTACATTCCAATTGCTAACAGATCATTTTAGTTTTGAACTGGCTTCCTTGCCATCCAGTTATATTATTGGCCCCATGTTAGTTTTCTATTAGGTTGTTGGTAAAGTCATGAAGTATTTCTCTCTCTCTCTCTCTCTTTTTTTATTTATTTATTTTTTTTGGAGAAGTTTTTGCTATAGGGCATGTGCGCTCGCCAGAAAGGCAGAAAGAGAAAGAGAGACAGAAAGCGAGAAATCGCCCCCCAAGGGGGATGGCCATGTTGCAATCCCTTCTCCTCCATTCTACTCTCGGGATCTTGGGCACGCACACACATGCAACCGGCATGAGTTTAAGCCATCAGGTCCAGGACTCGAACCATGATTGACTACATGGAAGTCCAGCAACACAGCCATTATGCCAACTGCTGGTCTCATATTTCTTTATGTTTTAATATGCAAAAATGGGTCATGACTTTCCTGACAGACCAATATTTGTTGCTGTAACAAATTACAACAAGCTTAGTGACATAAAAACAACATAATTTTTTTTTTTCTGACAGTTGTATAGAAGTCCAACACAAGTTTTCCTTGGCTAAGATCCTGGTATTGACAGGAATATATTTCCTTCTGAGGCTCTAAGGAAGGGTTTGTTTCCTTATTTTATCCAGCATCTAGAGGCCACCCAGATTTCTTGGCTCATGGTTCCCCTTCTCCGTCTTCAAAACCAGGAGTATAGTATAGCTCTTACCCCAATTCCATTACTTCTCTTTCTATAACTCTCTTCTTTGGCCTTCTTCTTCCACTTTTTTTTTTTTCTAATTTGCCAGAAGGCACATGTGTTTACCAGAGAAGAGAGAGAAGCAGGGGGAGGGGGCAGTGAATGAGAAAGCACCTCTCCTGGGGAATGGTCACACTACAACCTCTTCTCCATCCCTCTCTCCTTTTGGGATTTTGAGTATGCACACACGTGCACTTAGTGTGTTTTTGAAGTCACTGGGTGACTTGAGCCATGTAGGCACCAATCTGGGAACCTTAAGCACCTTAACTACCAGGCAACAGTTGGCTCCCTCTCTCTGTTTTACTTTTTTTTAGGTTTTTATCATAGGACACACGTTCTAGCCAGAGTGAGACAGAGAGAGGGAACGTGAAAAATCATCCCCCAAGGGTGGTCCCTTCTCTTCCATTCTCCACTTGGGATTTTGGGCACACCCACATATGTGCCCAAGCCAAGGGTCAGGTCTAAACTGTGGTGAACCATGTCAGAGTCTAGCGCCCTAACCACTACACAACCTTTGCCCCCCACTCCATGCTCTACTTTGAAGGACCCTTGTGATTACATTGCGCCCACCCAATAACCATGAATAATCTCCTTATGTCAAGGTCAGCTGACTACCTTAATTCTATTGTATCTGCGACCTTAATTCCCCTTTGCCATGTAACATAACATATCCACAGATTGCTGAATTAGGATATGGTCATTTTTCAGGGGAGGGGTGAGGTGAGACTTTATTTTGCCTATTACTGTCCTTTTTCTTTTTCTGTTATCCTTCTAATGCAATAAACTCAAAGATACATACACAAACATACTTAACGAAGCCAAATAGGAATAGGAAAATAAACGTATTCCATTGCCCTCTCTTTCATTTCCATTAAGCTACAGGACACACAGGATTCCAAAGAAAACTGAGCATTCTGTTTATATTGTCATTGCCCATTATCTACTCCCTTGACGGCTAACATTTGCATAGATAATTGACATCCCACAAGATTTTCCTTGGTTTCATTTCTGCACAAGTGTATCATTTTGGCATGTTTTCTAATACACAGGACATAACGATGTCATCCATGCCAACAACCCACCCTGGAGTACATGGAAATACACCGAATCCTTACCCACAAGCCATTTTTACGGCTCCTGAGTCTCAACAATCTCTGGGTTTCATAAACCGAGGAAACCAACCTCAAGGTGGTCAGCCTCCTTTCAACGCATCTCCAGGAATCTCTACCAGTCAGCTGGGACAAGTAAATATACAAATGGGAAATGCAGCAGTAGATACAACCGTAACAAATTTTAAAGAAGACGGAAAGATACTAGGGGTAAGTCTATTTACTTCTAGAATTTTAATTTTACATTCCTGAAGTTTTCTTGCACTTAATAAGAAAGTACACATTACATTCAGTAATAGGAACTTAAGTCTGGAAACATTCCTTTGAAATAGAAACAACTAGTCTACATATAGATTTTACTCTGAGTTCATTTTACTTTCGTTTCAAGCAATAATTTAAGAGATGATAGAGGACTCTCTAGAGCAGAAGTCAAGAGTTTTCACATGATGGGAGCCCCACTACTTCTAGGTTGATCTCACTTCTGCAAAGTACTTTTTAGACAGCCTCAATCCTGTCTCTGGATTGGTTAAAACCTAAACTTTGCATACAGATAAACTTAGATTAAAATGAACATCAGTGGCTGCTTTAAAGAGAAGGAACTATGACTGGGCAGTCTAGGGAAGATTGTGTGTGAAAAGTTAGAAGACATTTCCCTTGCTGTGCCTCTATCACCAACCTTGGAGAGGCTATGACTCAGCTGCCACCTTACTTCTACAAAGACTGCTTTGAACTGAACACTCTCCATCTTATTTCTGTGGGCATTGCAAAATATATTCTACTTGTGGTTGACGATTCCAGCTGCCTGGCAGAACTGCTAGTCCCTTCACTGTGCTTTCCAGGCAGGTCATTCATATCACTGACACAATGCCATAAATTGTATTAGGTCCCTCCCTATGTGCAGCTCCAACTTCTCTGCTAGAGCTGTAAGTAATTATACTGAGCGCCCATTACATGCCTGAAGATCCTCTAGCCCTCTTACTCTATACGTCAAGATTTAGGAAAGTAGAAATGAGGGACCAGCAGTTAGCGTAATGGCTATGTCGCTGGACTCCCATGTAGTTGACCGCGGTTCGCGTCCTGGACCCGGTGGCTTAAAACTCATGCCAGGCGCATGTGTGTGCGTACCCAAGATCCTGAGAGGAGAATGGAGGAGAAGGGATTGTGGTGTGACCATCCCCCCTGGGGGGTGATTCCTCTCTTTCTATCTCTCTCTCTCTCTCTGTCTGTCTGGTGAGCGCACAAACCCTATAGCAAAAACCTCTCCAAAAAAAAAAAAAAAAAGGAAAGTAGAAATGAACATCAGTTTCCACCAGCAGTTAATTTGAGTTCTGGAGCTAGCCCCTCAATGCTCCTCCTGCCAGACATTGGAAATCTCCTGTTCCTAATGAACAAGTGGGAAAAACTAGTACCTCACACAGTGGACCCCACAAAGATGAGAATATCGTAGAACACGAAGCAGGTACTATCTCTGCTCTGATGGAGACTACAGCTGCGTGGTAGAAATCAGACCACATACATAATACATAAGTACATATATGTTAGAGCTGACAAACGATGATGAGAGGATGAAGAAATGTAAAGGGAATAAACAGTGATAGAAAATTTCATTTGCTAAAGAGTGGGCTTTCCTTAGAACATGTTGTTTGAGGAAAGACAGGAAGTTAGAAAGAAGCCATGCAAAACAAGGAAATGACCAGTGTGAAAATCTTTAAGTAAAAATATGTGTGATGTATTTAAGAACAGGGAGGATGTCAAGAAAACACAACAGAAGGGGCACGGGAGGGAAGAGCTGGCAGGAGGGCAGAGAGTGGTCACACCTGTGAGACCTGCACAAGGAACGTTTTGACTTTTACAGAATGAGGAGTCATTAGAGCATTCTCCTTGGTATCCAAGAGGCACAATAAAAAACCCTTTAAAAGGATAATGCAGGAACCAGCAGGTGGCATAGTGGTTGTGGTGCTGGGCTCCTGTGTGGCATATTGGCAGTTCGAGTCCTGGTCCTGGAAGCTTGAAATTCACACTGGGTATGTGTAGGTGCATGCCCAAAATCCCAAGAGGAGAATGGAGGAGGAGGGATTGTGGTGTGGCCATCCTCTGGGAGGTATTTTCTTGCCTTCTGTCTATCTTTTTTCTCTTTCTGTCTCTCTGGTGAGTGCATGCACAGTACAGCCAAAATCTCTCTCTCAAAAAAAAAAAAAAAGTATAAGTGGAGTTTTGTTTTTTAAAAGCTCCAGTTGGCAGAAACCACTTCTGCTCCCTGAAGTTGTCACATCTATGCCATTTCCAGCCCCCAGTCCCCACAACAATGCAAGTGAAACAGTATGGAACATTTGTACCATTAAGTCAGAACTTACAATGAGTCTGGGGCCAAACATGCAAAACAAATATTATTCCAAACTGTTACATCTAAGTTATAGGCAATTTAGATCAGTAAACAGTGCAACCAGGGATATATGAGAACAGATGGCCATATGAACCCAGGATCAAACTGCTCCTTATCAAGATGACAGCGAAGATGAAAATGGGAATATGTGGCTAGATGATTGAACTGCTGCTCTAAAAAGGAGCTTATAAGAACAAAGTATACGGGGCCAGCAGGTGGTGGACTGAGTAAGGTGCTGGACTCCCATATGGCTGTCTGTGGATTGAATGCTGGACCTGGTGGCTTTCTTTTTCACTTTCTGTCTCTCTCCCTCCCTCCCTTTCTCTCTATGGTAAGCTCACATGTGCTACAACAAACTTAAAAATAATAACAATAATAATAAAATTAAGTAAATAAAGTGTAAAGAATCTGATTCAGGAGTTCTTTAACTAGGCTATACGGCTGACTAAAAAGATCCATCACACCTCTGAAACTATATGAAAAACTCCAGTGTGTGTGAGTGTGTGTGTGTGTGCACACATGTAGGCATATAAATAGTGGTGCCCAATAAATGATTTTATCTCCACTGACCTCTTCACCTGGAACTGGGATTACCCAAATAGAAAATTGATCCATGTGAAAATAATAGCCAGGAAATCATACCTGAAGTATTCTGAGACTCTTCTAGAGGTTTTCAGGGGATGCTTAAGCAGTTGCACTACTGAAGAACTTTCACTGGGCTGCCCAGACAACCTCCCAAATACCTCAGAAAGGCCCCACTAACTAAGGCCCTAGCTCCCATTATTCTGGTGTCTGTCAAAGTCATCATGGCCTGCCTGCTGCTTTACATCCAAGACTCATGGATTTTGGCAAAGTTGACAGTAAATAAGCAGGAGCAGCCATAATGGCAATGTTTCACAGGTCTGACAATAGAGAACTAATTTTAAAGTGCTTGTTTTCTTTTTCAGGCGATCCAGATCATCATTGGATGTATGCACCTTGGTTTTGGAATTATTTTGGGTTTAATGAATGTGATCTACTTAGGTGTCGCAGGTTTTGGCTCTACTGCTTTTGTTGGTGGATACCCATTCTGGGGTGGCATCTCTGTGAGTAGACTATTAAAATACATCTCCTTATCAGTTTTTAAAGTGTAACTTTATCTATTCAGCTTATTCACACTAATTTCTTAATAAGCCTTACATCAAAGAGATGAAGAATTTAAAGAAATAACAGCTCTGTTTAGCCATAAAAAAGAGAAACTGTTGTTCACCATATTAACTTGCAGCTTAAACCCATACTAGAAAGTTTAAACTGGTCAAGTTATTAGGAAGTCATTTTAGGTTCCATTACATTTTTTTTCCTTTAAATTTATTTATTTTTTACATTAATTCACTATATATCATTATAGCATACAAATTAATTTTCCATCCAAAATACACTATATTGGCTCAATCAAGCACATCAGCATACATGTTATCAGCAAATAATTTTCCATTTCTTATGTCTTGTATACTTTGTTTTTTTTTTCTTTTTGCCATCCTTGATTCCCTATCATGTCCCACTCTCCTCCCACATTGTCTCTAGTATCCGTGGTTGCTTTCTATGCCTTTCCTCCCCATTTAATTGATTTAATGAACTTAATTAGTCTAAATATTTCCAATAGCAAGCACAGCTGATATATACCTATACATGAACCCAAGTCTGACTTTAGGCATAAACCTCAGTGAGTAGAATGAACATACTATAAAGTAGTACCTAGCTGGGGCTATATAGCTTACTACAGTCATCAAATAGCAATTTTTTTAAATTCCAATAAGAACAGTCACTGTTTTTTTTTTCTCCTGAAACTTTTTTTAAAATTACTTAACATTCATTCCCTGAGCATCATCACAACATACTAAATGTGGTTTCCCATCGAGAAAAAACTGTATAGTGGCTTAATCATGCATGTTATCATCAATAATATTCCATTTCTACTCTCATATATATGCATATGTATATATATATATGTTTACTTTTTTTGATGGAGATGGGTATGTTGAGTGGAAAACAAAAACGCCTATGATTAGAAATATGATTAAAAATATACAACTGATGGGCCATCAGGTGGCATGGAGATTAAGGTGCATTGGTTCCATATGGCTAGCTGTGATTCGAGTCCCAGACCTGGCAGATGGAAAGTAATACTGGACACATGTGTGTGTACCCAAAATACTGAGAGGAGAATGAAGGAGAGGGATGTGGCACCCCTGGGCGGGGTGACTTCTCACTTTCTTTCTATGTTCTGTCTCTCTAGTGAGCACATATACCCTATTGCCAAAATCTAATAAATAAATAAGTAAATAAGTGTGTTTGCAAGATTACACACACACACACTTGACAATGAGAAGAGGTTAAGCAATCACCTCAAGGATCATCACAAGGAAAGCTTACAAGTGATAAGTAGAGATTGAGTTTTAGATGTGAGAAACTAAAGAAGAAAAAGAAAAAGGAATTCTATGACACATCTCAGAGTTACTTCAGAAAATTAAGAAATATGAGAAAAAATTTTGAGAGGGAAACTAAATAAATACAAAAATACCAGTCTTTCATATAAAATGTTCCCAGGCACAAAGAACCCACCATTTCACAAGTAAATTTGTCTATTTCAACAGTTCATCATTTCTGGCTCTCTCTCTATATCAGCATCCAAGGAGTTTTCCCCTTGTCTGGTAAGTTAGAATGTTTCTATTTTGGACATTTCTAAAGATTATTTTAATTGTTTGGGGAGGAAAATTAAGAAGATGGATTCAAAATTGCAAATGGGAACTCTTTTCCCAATCTGTTTGTTACTTCCATGGTACGTGGGCTGGGGTAGGAATGGGCCACATCATTTGCCACTCAGAAATCACAGAGCTCTGCATCCCAACTCCTGAACTCCCAGGGTGGGAGGCAGTGAAGGTAAAGGATGTTTCATCTTTGGCCTACATGTCCCTGGGTTTATTTGAGTCACAGTACAGTAGCAAAAGTCCAAAGAAGAACCTGTGATCCAGAAACACCTATTTCTCATTTTAATTAACAAAGTTTCTACTATTGTTCATTTGCCATTTCTCAGCTCTGCCTGTATTTTCATCTTTTATTTGCACGTATCCCCTGACCTTATTGAGATTGGGTTTTTGTTTCAGAAGTCTATAAACCTTCATTAAAAGCATCTACAGGGTCTTCAGAAGAGACAGGACACATTTTTGCATAGAAAAATAGGTCATGGCTTTCCAGACAATCTAATAGATCAGAACTTAAGATTTTCAATTTTCTTAGTCACAGCACTTTACCTGTTTGCAATTTCTCAGACTAATTTTGAATCAGGAAAATTAGAATGCTTGTCAAGAATTAGCACCAACTAGACAAGAGGCAGTGTCAAGATTATGTGTAATCCAGCACCAGAGGAAAGAATAGGGAAAGGGTAAGAGACCTGTTGCTCATTCTTCTCTAGATGAAACGAAAATAAAATAATTGAATTAAATTCTAATTGGCCTAAACCTGACTAATCACTCTTATTTTAACTGAAATAAATAAATAAAAATAAAGCATTTTTTCCCTGCATCCTTCATGGGTCCTTCCCTCTGAGATGGTCTGAGCATAGGCTCTGTCTCTTTGGAGAAGAGAATTATGTAAGATAATTTTTCTAAGAGTCTTTTAGAGGCCTTCAGGAAACTCAGGTTTGCTGAAGCTGATTGCACATTCTAAACAAGTCTAAGTGCACCAACTCCTTGTAAGTCAGCTGAGAAGTTGATTTCACAATTATTCTGCTGCATGTTAAAATATTACAGTAGAAACATGAAAGTTTTGTACTCTTCCCATACATATTTGCCTGAAAAAACCTGAAGGGTGTCTTCTTCTAAATTTAGGATTCTTTACCTTGTCCCTAGAGATACATTAGGGTTTTTATTCATTTCTAAATTTATTAACAAACATTTTGTTGTTATATATTCTCCCCTCTATATGATCAGATGGCTATAGCCTTACCTTGTGTAATGGCTATAGATTTGAATAGCATAATATATTTGAATAGTTTATCATAGTGCCCCCCCCACACACACACAAGCTCACTAAAAGTTTATTTGCTGTTGTCTTGTTTTTAAAAAGGAAGTATAAGGGCCAGTGGATGGCATGGAATTTAAAGGTGTTGGATTCCCACAAGGTAGATTGACCGTGGTTTGAATCCTAGACCTGGCGGCTTGCTCTCTCACTTTGCCTTTCTCTCTCTGTCTCTCTCTCTCTGATGAGCACATGTGCCCTATAGCACATTAAAAAATAATAATAAATAAAATGTTTAAATTAAAAATAAAATAAAAAGGAAGTATGCTTATTGCATATAAAGACTTTAGATAAATATAACAAATGAGTTTCTGCCTTACATTATTTACAGTTCCTACAACTTTTTTGAAGTAGTCTTTATCTTGACTACGTACAGGGTAATTTTTGGGGTAACTATCCAGAAGGGCAGGAAGATAATAATTTCAATTTCAAACAAAAAATTGTTTCCTGATCCAATCGCATTAGTACACAATGGTCGATGCTGTTACTTGGCAGGCTGAGGCTACATAGGAGGACCAGGTTTGATTCCTGACCAACCCTTAAAAAAAAATCAGGTACTGTAGCCGGAGGCTGAATATCAGCTACTTGGGAGGGTGAGGCAGAAGGATTATGACATAGCACAATCTTTTCTAAAAACAATAAAAATTGTTTCTGGATTTTAAACACTGAGAGCCATTGATTTAGATTATTCTTACATCATTTAATTTCATTTATCCAATATAAAATTTACTTTTCCTGTCATCTCCATTAGATAAAAGGCAGCCTAGGCATGAATATTGTTAGTGCTATCTTTACTGCTGTTGGATTGATTCTGCTGCTGCTGGATATGTCCCTCAATGGCTCCTATGGCCAAGATTACTGGGCATTGGTAAGTATGACAAAAACTTTTGAAATATATATTTTTAAAATTTATACATTCAATCACTGTATATCATTACAGCTTGTAAAATGAATTTTTCCAGCATGAATACATTGTATTTTAGTCCAGTTAAAGATATTATCAAACATGTTATATTAATAGATTTTTTTCTGTCCTTTAATGTTTTGCTTCTTTCTTTTTCCTCTTGATTACCTTCCTGCCACCCTCTCTCATTTCCCACCCTTCTCCCAAACTGTCTCTAGTATCTACAATTGTTCTCCAAGCTTTTACATCTTTCAGTCTTTCAGTTTCTGCTGTAGAGTGTAGACATTTGGTATATATTAAGGGGGGACATACAATGTCTCTCTTTCATAGTCTGATTTGTTTCACCTAGCAGTAAATCTTCCATATTCCTCCACTGTCAATCAAATGCCAGGGTTTTTTTTTTTATGACTGAGTAGTATTCCATAGTGTAGATGTATCACACTCTTT